GTGTTGGTTCCCAGCAGGGAGGCTGGGCGTCCCCACTGTCCCTTCCCGGTGGCTTCCAACAGGCTGGATGGCGGTGCCAGCCTGCTCTTGCTGTGGTTTTGCTTTCTACCTGAAGCTTCCTTTTCTTCAGTAGGCACTAAAAAGCGCAGGGTTTAAAAATCACCAGAGTGCAAAGTATCGTCAAGGTTCAACTCTTCCCACCCTTCCTCCTCCCCCTCAGTTGAACCCCTTTGAGATTGTTCATATTTCTCTTACTGTGCTTTCCATTTCTATAACAAAGTGCCTGGAACTGGGTGATTTATAAAGAATAGAAAAAATTACTTTGAGACAGTATCTCATTATGTAGTACAGGCTGGTCTCGAACTCACAGCAATCCTCCTGCCTCAGCCTCCCGTGTGCTGGGATTACAGGCGTGCGCCACCATACCCATCTTGAAAGTGTGTATTTTAATGGATTCTAATTTGCATTTTCTTTTTATGGTAAGGATGTGCATCTCATGGGATTTAGTTTTTTTTCCTGCACTGAGATGTTCATGTCCCGCTCTGGGTCACTAGCTCTGCTCGGTTCTAAGGACTTTTCATGTTTTGGGAGACTTAAATAGCAGACTTTCCCAAGGTTATTTATCTTTTGATTGGCTTCTTTCTTTCCTCCCCCCCCCCGCAATACAGAATTTCTTTTATTGCAGTTAAATGTATGTCACAGCTTCTAGCTTCTGGGTCATAGTTAAAATTTTGTTTGGTTTGAGTCTGTTTTGGAGCTAGCATTTGCATTTAAATGTTTGCCACCAGGGGTACCCAGTATACAGGATGCAACTTAGATCTGGCTTTACATTGTGTTTTTCTTTTTGGTATCTGGGATAGAACTTGGGACCTTTCATTTTCAAGGCAGGTAGTGGTACCACTGAGCTAAATCCCCGGCCCTGGGTTTACCTTTTTCCAAATGGCACCTCTATTGCTGGGCGTGGTGGCGCATGCCTATAATCTCAGCACTTGGGAGGATGAGGCAGGAGGATCTCTGAGTTTGAGACCAGCCTGGGCTACATAGTTTTAGGTCAGTCTCAACTACATAGTGAGACCCTGTCTCAAAAAAAACAAACAAAAAACAAAAAACAAATGGCACCTCTATTGCCTGGTTTTTTTGGGGGGTTTGATGGTGCTGGACATTGGAGCCAGGTTCTCAGGCGCACCAAGCAGCCAGTCCACCACTAAGCTGCGTCTCTAGTCCTAATGCCTTTTTTCTTCACACTGAGCAACATCCCTGGCCCTCTTTTATCCTTAGCCAGGGTCTCGCTGAGTCACTTAAATTATCCAGGCCACACCTGAACTTGTGATCCTCTTGCCTCAGCCTCCCAAGGTACTGGGGTCACAATCATGTGCCACCACGCTTAGCTCCTGATGTTTTTTGTTTTGTTTTTTGTACCAGGGGTCGAACTCAAGACCTTGCAGTTCTGAGGCAGGTGGTGGAACCACTGAGCTAAATCCCCAGCCCCTGATGCCATTTTGTTGTTATTTTTTTGCTTTAGTCTCTTTCTTCCTTGGATTTCAGGGGCTTCCTGTGGCACAGACTGACTGCCAGTCGGGGCTCGAGTCCGCGGGAGTGTGGCTTCATCACAGTGGTGCCTCAGGTTCAGTTACTGAGGCCCTGCTCTCTCTGTACCTGAGGCAACAGCCTTCTTTCCTGGCTTGCTTTCAGTTTCCTTGTGATTCGGGCCATTTAATTCCAAAAATCCATGTTGGTGTACATTATATATGTACATTTTCATAATTAAAACTGTTAACTTTGATAATAACAAAACCCATCATCCGACAGAAACCACAGAACAGCACTCATTCCTGCGAACCTTCAAGTAGTTTTTTTTGGAGACAGGGTCTCACTGCAGCCCAGGCTGGCCTTGAACTCAGTCCTCCTGCCTCAGCCTCCCCAGTGCAGGTGCTGGGGTTACAGGCGTGAGCCACCACCTCTGGCTTTCACAAGTACTTTTTGTGACCGTCTCCCGTGTATCAGGCACAGTTCTCGATCCCGGGGACACAGCTGTGACAAGACCAAACCCCTTGACCTCAAGGGAGGAAGCTGCATGCTGGGCACCGTGGCAGAAACAGCGGGCTAAGCCGGGGCAGGGGTGGAGACTGCAGTCAGGCCGGAGCGGCTCAGCGGCGGGGCGCTTGCCGCACATGCGCAGAAAGTGAAAAGTATGGTGGAGAAAAACCTGAGAGCCCCAGAGGGCTGCGTGATGCAGGTGGGTCGGGGCCACGTTTGCGAGCCTTCTCCCATGTGGACCTCAGTCCCTCCCCAGGATCCTCGGATCCAGGGCTCCGAGTGGTGCTGACCTGAGGGACAGCAGGCCCGAGAATGGCACCATCAGGTGCGTCCCCCACCATCAAGGCCACGGCAGGGAACCGAGTCACCTCTTCCAGCTGGTGATACACAGGCCTCCCTGTGCCTCAGTTTCTCTTCAAGGAATTGCACGAGTTCTTGCTCTTCTGCTGCTTCCTGGTGTTTAAAGGTCTGACTGAAGCCAGGCGGCAGCACAATCTAGTGAGCCCAGCACTCTGGGAAGCTGAGGCAGGAGGGTCATAAATTAAAAAACCCAACCTTGAGCAACGTGGGAGGCCGGGTCTCAAAATAGAAAATTAAAATGGCCTGGGGATGTAGCACAGTGTGAAGGCACCCAGTTCTATCCGTGGGGCTGAAACAAGATCTGAGTGAACATTTGAAGTTTCTCAGAGGTGAAGACTCTGCAGTGCCATCTTACTCTGTCCCCAGCCTCACTCTGGGCCACCTCAGGGTGGCTGCACTGGCCACAGCCAGAGGGCAGAGTCCCAAGGTTGGGTGTGCAGGGCTGGCCGAGGACCTGGGCGGGCAGAGAAACGGAGCCCTAGGTACGAAGGCTGGGGGTCCCGCCCCGCACAGGTGGCGCCGAGGCCACTGCACCCACCGTGCCGTCGTCCTCAGCCGAGCGCCCTGTCCCCACACCTCCTGCGTCTCCGTCTCTCCCTCCCTCTGGGGATAGAACCCAGGGTAAGCAAGTGCTGTCCCATTCGGCCATAACCCTAGCCGTTTTCCCCAACCATTTCTCCGATTCAGTAATCCGTCTTTCTGCCCCCCGCACCCCGCAGTACTGGGGATCGAACTCAGGACCTTGCATTTGGGACACAGATGCGGTGCCCCTGAGCTAAATCCCAGGCCCTTTTTGCTTTCTTGACACTATTCTTCCACGCAAAAAAGCACTAGTGAGTTATGGTGCTGCGGATGGAACTCAAAGTGTTGCCCACGCCCCAGCTCCAATTCATTGTAATGTTTTCTATATAATCCAGCTTATTTTATTTGGTGGCATTAATGGGGTGCTGAGATTCGAACCCAGAGCTCCACGTATGTGCTCAATCTACACTCTATCTCCTGAGCTACACATTCAGGCCTAATTAAGGGAGCACTGAACTACATCCTCATTCCCTCCCCACCTTTTTTCTGGGTACAGGAAATCAAACTCAGGACCTTGTACTTACAAGGCAGGTGCAGCACCACTGAGCTAAACTTTTTTTTTTAAGGCAAGGTCTTAAATTGTGATTCTCCTGCCTCAGCCTCCTGAGTACCCTCCTTTATTTCACAGTAATCCAACTCATCTGCTCTTTTGTTACTGCTGTTCCTGGGACTTTGGTGTTAAGTCTGATGCATTAAGATTTTCCTGCTGTTTTCTTCTGACTCCTGCCTTCAGGCTGGTCGTGTTTATATAACAGGTTACAAATGCAAGGCTCACACTGGTGCATTTGTGGAGGGAAAGAAGCCAGCAACAAAGATGGCTCGATGTGACCCCCAAAAGTGCAGAACCCACCAGTGGGGCTGGGGTCAGAGGAGTGCTGTCCCCGAAGAGGACCCTTGGGAGCAACTCGGGGGCCAGGACAGCCACTGGGTCAGGTCATGGTCACATCGAGTCCATGTGGAAAAGGCCCTTGTGAGCTGGACTGTGCTCCACATCAAACCCTGACTACCTCAACAACTGGCTCAGGCAGGGCGGGTGGCACACGCCAGTAATCCCAGCACTTGGGAGGCTGAGGCAGGAGGATCACCTCCTAGTTCAAAGCCAGACTGGGCTACATAGCAAGACCTGGTCTCAAAAACAAACAAACAAAAAACAGAACAGGTTAGTTTTTTTGTGTGGTTTTGTTTTGTCTTTTTCTGGTTTGTTTTTGGTTTTGGTTTTGGTTTTTTTTTTTTGGTGTTTTGAGACAGGGTCTCACTATGTAGTTGAGACTGACCTGGAACTCACTGTAGCCCAGGCTGGTGTTGAACTCACAGTGATCCTCCTGCCTCAGCCTCCCGAGTGCTGGGATTACAGGTGTGCGCCACACCTGGCCAGTGTTTTTTTTTTTTGGCTGAGCTGGGAATGGAACCCAAAGTCTCTCATACTCGGCAAGCTCAACAGTAATACTTGATCTTTAAGTCACTATCCAAGATGTGATCATTTGAAGAGGTAACGGAACAAGCCCAGGTGTGGCACACACTTGTAATCCCAGGAAAGCTGAGGCAAGAGGATCACAAGTTTAAATCCAGACTGAGCAACTGAGCAAGGCCCTGTCTCAAAATAATCAACAACAGGGCCGCGGATTAGCTCAGTGGTTCCACCACCTGCCTCGCAAGTGCAAGGTCCCAAATTCAATCCCCAGTACCAAAAAAAAGTGCTCTTTGGGCTGAGGATTTAGCTCAGTGGTTCTGCCACCTGCCTCACAAACACAAGTTCCTGAGTTCAATCCCCAGTACCAAAAAATAATAATAATCAAAAACAAAAACAGTAATCAACACCCAAGAGATGTAGCTTCATCTGAAGGCCCTGGGTTGAATCAACCAAGAGCTGACTGCACTCTTTTCCTTAAGTCTTCGGAGGTAGTAACGCACTCCCCATCCACCGTCCCTCAGGGCAGCCACACGTGGCTGCTAATGTACAATCGGCATCCACAGGGCCAGGGCTAGCGGAGGCCAAGCCAGTTTCTTTTCTCCTGGGACAGGTCAGAGTCCAAGGCCCGGGAGCTGAGGCAGCCTCCAGGGAGCAGCACACCATGGTAAGACATCGCTGCGGTTCTCTGGCAACTTCCTCAGCAGGGAGGCGTCTCCGCTCTGCACTGGCACCTGCAGGCCGGCGTCCTGGCGAGGGACCCGACTGCCACCCCATGGGAGAACTAGGGGGAGGCGCCCCCCACCCCACCCCGTAGGTGTCCGGGAGACCTGGCTCAACGACTGGTGTGTCCGTGTCCCATCTGCCAGTGGCACACGTGAACGTGCTTGGCAGAAAGCTCGGGGTTTGGCTCTGATCTCCCGGTCCTGACGCTGGCAGGGGGCAGCACCTCCTCAGCCCCGGGATCTCTCGGGGAGTGGGGGCGACAGTGCTCCGTGGCTGGGACATGATGCACTGTCCACTTGTCTTCAACTTGCCATGGAGCTACTGGGACGTCATTGTGCCGTAGCACAGGTAAATCTAAAACCGTGGTATTGTGCACTTTCCGTGGGACAAGTGTGTGGTATAAAAACTATCTCAGTGAAGCTTAAAAGAGCAAAGCCCCAGCGTCCAGCGTCCCTGACCGTACGCTGCCTGCAGCACGTTTATCTTCTTGTTGTACTGGGCACTGAACGCAGGGCCTTCCCACTGAGCTACAGACCAGCACCCCCGCCATACAAGTGTGTGGTATAAAAACTATCTCAGTGAAGCTTAAAAGAGCAAAGCCCCAGCGTCCAGCGGCCCTGACCGTACGCTGCCTGCAGCACGTTTATCTTCTTGTACTGGGCACTGAACGCAGGGCCTTCCCACTGAGCTACAGACCAGCACCCCCGCCCCGTTTTTGTTTTTTGGTATGAGATCAAAGTCGGAACCTGTGTTTGCAAGGCAGATGGTGGCACCACTGAGCTAAATCCCAGACCCCCAGCCCTTTATTTTGGTACCAGGGATTGAACTGGGTCCTTGTGCGTGCAAGGCAGGCAGTGGAACAGTGGAACCACTGAGCTAAATCCCCGGCCCAACCCTTTATGTTGAGACAGGACCTCACTAAGTTGTCCAGGCTGGGCTGGAACTTGTGATCCTCCCGCCTCAGCCTCCCAGAGGCTCTGTCTCTGCTGCCCACGTGCAGCTGAGTGAACCCCTAGAGTCCATGGGACTGGGGGAGCACAGGGCGGGGCTGCGAGCCCAGCATGGTAGCGGCCTAGTGGGGTGCTCCCGGGACGAACCAGCTTCACTCCGCAGGGCAGCGCAGGGCTTCTTCGAGGTCCTGGAGGACAACAGGGAGCCCTGCTCTACACCGAGCACCACGGTCTTCCCCAGCCCTCCCTACCGCAGGGCCTACCACTGTCCTGAGACCTGGGGCGGCCCCTAGACGACTGCAGTTGCATCACCAGAATCCAGGACTCGGAGCGCTGTGGCTGGCGGAATCCTCCAGATTGTCTTCCCTGGGCCAGGTGCATCTGGGGCCCCTGCCAGTTTTGCAGCCACAGCTCTGGGTCACTCACAGCTCTCACAGTTTGAAGACTCAAGAATCTGATGGTCAGTTGAAGGGGTGGCAAAAAACCTTTCTCACACTGCCAAGTCCCTGGATCTACAGGGCAGGTGAGCTGCTCACGGAAGGGGTGGCAGCTACAGCACATTCCGGAGAGGTCCAGCCACGGAAGGAACTGGTAAGCGACCCACAGAGGCGGCAGAATGGAAGTAAAACAAGCTTAGTCTGTCAACGGGGTGATGTCTGGATGACACCTAACGGCGGTGCCCTGACTGACCCAGTACTGGGCTACACCTCCCCTTTTATAGGGTTTTATAGGCCGTGATCTCAATTCAGGTGGCTACACTGCATTTTTCACTGCTCACATGGTCGTAAGGCAGGTGATTCCAACCCAGATGTAGCACTTGTTAGGGAGGTGACCTTTAACATTCATTGAGTTTAGCTATCTATTCTAGCCCAGGGGACCATGTCTGGTCCCAAAGCTAACAACGGTTCTTTTCATTTTACAAAACTTTTTAGCGGGACTAGATGCCTCCGGTTCTATTGATTCTGAACTAAACAAAGCAAGGGGCAGAAGTTGTTTTACATTGTGAACTGTGTGACATTTCGGTAGGGTATTTGCTATTAAAATGTTCTCTATCGCTCACACAGTTCAGTCACAAACCATTTTGACACACTGGGCAGCAGCCCAGCAGCACAAACTTTCATTTCCAAACAAAGCATTCTGTGGAAAAAATAATGGAGGCAAGGCGCGGGTGTTTTACCGTACAGCCCTTCTCTCCCCCGCCCTGGGGCACAAGCAGTCCTGGCGCCGTGGCCCGGGCCCTGCCTGCACCTAGGAGTCCCTGGCATTTCATGGTCCCCATCCACTCACAGCCTTCCACACGGGCCGAGAGGTCCACTGGGGACAACTCAGAGCAGGGTCCAAGCCGGCTTCAACCTCGTCCTTTCGGGGCCCTCGTTGCCCAGTCAGGATCAGCAGTGACCCCGACAGTGGCCTCTCCAGCTCTGCATTATAGCTCCACGAGTCAGGTGACCAGGTCCCCAGGTGGCTTCAGCAGGCCCAGAGTTTGGACGTCACAAGCTGCTGCGAGCTGGGGTTCAGAGGCGTCACCCCGGAGAGCCCATGGCGGTGACAGTACGCGGCACACACCCGTCCTGCAGTTCCAGTTCTCAGCAGCCCCAGGTCATCACTGCGGCAACCCCAACCAGCCCAGCAGCAGCAACCTCCACCGGAGTAGCCGCTCCCAAGGACGTCACAGCCATTGGACCTGCCAGCCTCCATGTGGACTTGAGCACCTGGCCCAGAAAGGCCTGGGAGGGATCAGGCCTCACTAGTCTAGAAGACCAGGGTGGACAGCAGAGTCCACAGGCACAGCCAGGGGAAGGGGGCAAGATTCTGACGCACCAGCTTGTGACTGCAGAAGGGGACAGTGAGCTGGTGCTGGAATACACCTGTAAGCCCAGAATTCTGGGAGGCTGAGGAGGCTGAGACAGGAGGATCTGAAGTCTAAGCCCAGCCTGGGCAGCTTAGCATCTCAAAACAACAAAACAAAAGGGGGCGGGGGGGGCTGGAAATGTGTATCAGTGGGAAGGGCCTAGGACAAAGAAGAAAAGAAGAAAAAAAGGGAAAAGGGGGGGGTTGGATCTGGGGGTAGGTGAAGGCAGCAGCGTCTGCGCCCAGCCCTCCTGGGCTTTCTCGAGTCCCCTCTGCTGCCAGGTTGGAGGGAAATAAAACATTCCTATCACTCACTCCTCGCAGCTGCTTCCCTCCCAGAGGGGCCCCACGGTCCAGGCACTAGGGCCAGAGCGGCCTCGCGCAGGCCTAGTCCTCTCTGGGGCGGCCTTGCCAGCACCAGGCCCAGGCCGGGGACCCAGGTGGCCTTGTACCCACCCCACGGTCCTGCAGCTCAGTAGGGCCGGAACTTGCGCTGGGCCCGCAGCAGCTCGATCCTCTGCTTGTCCTCCTCAAACTTCTTGCGCAGCTGTGCGAGGTCTGGGGACAGGAGGGACAGAGGGGGTGTCAGGTGGGGTCTGTGGCTGCCCAGGAACGATGGGCCCCTTTCACTGCTGGGGACTCCCACCGTCTCCCTGCCAAGCCCACCCCTCTGCTCTTGGGATGGGCTTGGGCAAGGCACTGCTGAGGACAGGCGGAGCCCCGTCCCCACAAACTCCCGACGGTGACTCTGATCCCTGAGTGACCCCGGGCACAGAATGGGCGGGGACCGGAGGGCCGAAGAGGCTGCAGTTCAGTGAAGCCGGGGTCCCAGAAGAGGATGAGAGCAGGTGTGGAGTGGGGTCAGGGTGGGGGCAGAGGGGAAGCTGTCCTGCAACCACGCCACCAGGCTGTGTGGCTCACACCACAGAGCCCTGTGTGCCCACAGCTGCGAAGAGCCACCCCATGGTCCATCCTCCTGTGCTGGCTGCTGGTTGGCAGGTAACAGGGCTTGGGGCCAGGAGGGTCCCACATCCCGGGGCTTTGGAGCTGTTGCCCAAGGCCTGAAGGACACTGCCCTCCCGCCCCAGGCTGGTGTCACCCGGCACCCGCTCCTTACGCTCCATCTTGGTCTCTCGGTGCTGCCAGGCGTAAAAGTTGAGCAGCTCCTTGCGCGCCCGCTTCCGCCTCTCCCGCTCCAACACCCGCAGGCTGGCAGCCTCCGTCCGGGGCAGCACAGGCCGCCGGCCCCGGCGCGTCACCTTCACCCAGCCCTCCTCATCTGGGACTCCCTCCTCCGCCTTGGCCTTGGTCTCCTCCTGCAGAGGACATGGTCCTGGAATTGGCAGGCTCCCACTGTCCCACCCTGGGCACCACAGGACCCAGGCACCTCTTACCCCACTTGCTATAGAACAGGGTAGCAGAGGAGACAAGGCCACCTCCCCCTGGGTCCCACAGACCCCCAGACTCAGTGTCACCCAGCCAGGCAGCCCAGGATATTCAGGGAAGAATGGAGCCTGGAGTACACAGTGACGGGGCCAGGCTGCCACACGACACCGTGTCCCTCTGTGACTCAGTGTCACCCAGCCAGGCAGCCCAGGATATTCAGGGAAGAATGGAGCCTGGAGTACACACAGTGACGGGGCCAGGCTGCCACACGACACCGTGTCCCTCTGCCCCCCGTGGCCCCGGGGGAGTCCCCACCTCAGCGATCTTCTTATCATAGGCCTCCATGAACTCATCCACCTCGACTCTCAGGGCCTCAGGGTCAGCCACTGCATCCGCATAGTCCCGGATCCACTCTGAGAAGGGAGCAAGGTCACCTGCTGCAGGCCGACAGGTGGGTCCCCAAGGACCGACCGCGAGGGGGCTGGAAGTCGGGTGGGGCACAGGGACTGCAGACTTGTGGCCTGGAGTGCAGGGGCTCAGAAGGTCCCAGGGACAGCGGGCCAGGCCCTCACCCCTGCCCACAGCCCCCATGTCTTGTGGCCTGGAGTGCAGGGGCTCAGAAGGTCCCAGGGACAGCGGGCCAGGCCCTCACCCCTGCCCACCCAGCCCCCATGGGCAGGACACAGCTGATGGCAGATGTGTCCCCAGGAAGCTGCCCCAACCCAGGCCCGGGAAGCGGGCGCCGTGCACGGCTAGCGGTACTGACTGTGAATGCCACTCGGCACAGGGTGACTCTCAGTGGAGGCCAGCAGGGGGCCCTTCAGGGTCAAGGCAGCAGCCACTCCACTGGGCCTCTGGAACACCACATAGGCCACCCGGAAGCCCTGTGGGAAGAAGCCGATGTGAGCAGCCGTCCCCGCACCCAACACGGGGTCCCTGGGCTGCTCCTAAGCCTCGAGGATGACAAAGCCATCCCGTGTCCAGGTGAGGGACAGCCACACTTCTAGTTTTCCAAGTGCTGCTGGAAGGGACCCCGTTCTAGCTTTTCGCCTGGGGACCAGGGACTTCCTTCCAGTTTCAGAAGAGACTTGGTGAACAGCAGGCTCACCCAGGCCAGGGCAGCACCTGGCAGCCAGGTCTGGTGTGGGGAGGGTGAGGGGCACCCGACCTGGGAGGAGCTGTGTGCTCAGGAGACCAGGGGACACAGGAGGACCAGTGCTCCTGGGACCAAGGTCCAGGGCTCAGGCCATGCAGGGCAGCGGGAAGATGAGGTCCCTGAGCTTTAACCACAGCTCACAGCTAAGGCCTGGCAGGGAGTCCAAGGACAAGGTTTACCAGAGACAAAGCCGGAAGCCACCACCCCGACACACTGTAGAGCTAGGCCAGGACCACAGAGAGCACTCGGGAACCCCGCTGCCAGCCTGCTCCCTCAACACTGGGATGTCACCTTGGCCCAGCCCACACCCCATGCTGTGGGACTCAGGACTTGGGGCCCTACCGGAACGGGCTTGGGGTGGAAAAACTTGGACTTTGGCTCCTTTGGGCTCTCCGCAAGGTCTGGCTTCTCCTGCAGCTCCACAGACTGGACCAGGCCGCAGGGGGACAGGAGGCGCGACAGACACTCCTGATGGGCCAAGGCAGGCAGAGTGAGGGACTGCAGGGCCGTCCCTGGAGTCTCCCCATCTATGCTGGTGACATCAGCAGAGCCCAGGCATCGGCCCAGGTACCCTGTCCTCTGACCGGATCCCACAGGGGCAATGCAGAGACAGGCATCCCCGTAACCCCAGCCTAAGATAGACAGGACTTTTCTGGTATTACTCTGATTTAAGAAAACAATTAAGTTTTATTACTTGAGTCAGAAATAGAGTCAAAGCTACGCTGGTGGAATCAGGACCTGTGATCCTTGATAGGCGGGGCGTGAGGGGACCTCGGGGGTGGTGACATTTCGCAGTCTGAGTGCCGACTGCACAGTTTGTTCAGGTTGTGAACAGCCACAGGCTGCACACCGACAGCCCAGCCCTCCCCTCTAACATACCCCCATTCTTTCTTTTTTGGGTGGGAAGGTACTAGGGGTGGAACCTGGGCCCTTGCACTGAGCTACAACTCAGCCCTTACTTTTTTTGAGACAAGACCTGGCCAAGCTGCCAAGCTGCCAAACTGCCCGGGCTTAGGCTTGAATTTGCAGCCCTCCTGCCTCAGCCTCCCAGAGTGCTGATATTACAGGCATGTGCCACCCATACCCACTTTAGAATTACATCTTTAAGTTGAATTCCTGCCACAAGGGATAGAGGCAGCTTCTTGGCACCCTCCACCCGGGCTCCATTAGCAATTCCTCCTCACCCCCAAGGAGCTGGTAGGAATCGGGGAGCCCTCTCCTAGCACAGGCCAGGAACTCACCTCCGAGCAGTACGGGGGCACATTGAGGACAAACAGAGTGCGCTTCTGCGGCCAGGTGGACCGGGTGCCTTGGCGAACTCTGTGTTCCCTCACATAGAGGTAATGAGAAGCCTGCTGCTTTTCTGAGAACTTGATTGGAACAGCTGGAAGGGAAACGGGGGCAAGCGTGAGTTCAGACCACCCTGAGCAGAGGTCAGCGCCTAACTCACACCATCTCCTTCCTCCGCGTTCCTCCTTGTGCTGCCTATCCAGCCAGCCGTCCCTTCGTCTTTCACAGAGCTCTCCTCCTAGGTGGCACCTGTGCAGGCTTGAGAGCGAGCAAATAATTCGAGCATCTACCAAAGAGGCCTCCTGGGCTGGCGGAGGAGAGCGAAACTTGCAGTTATCACGGGTGGGGAGCAGAGAGGGGAGTCCCACCTCTGCGGCTCTCGGGAGGTGCCGGAGCCCCGGCCAGGCTGGAAGCTGTGACGCCACCTGGCACTGGGTCCTCGTCTTGCCCCACCTCTCCTCACCACCCCGGATCCTGTTACCCCAATAAGCTGGGCATCGCACATGCTGTTTGGCCACCAACCCTCTTCCCTTCTTCACCCATTTGCTGAAACTGCTTCCTCCAGGAGGGCCTGATCTTCACCTTCGAGCCTCAGGCCAGTCAGATCCACCCCTTCCGGGCCTTCAGAGCTGGCAGGTGTGGGGCATTTTGGTTAATTCCCATCGTTCTATAAATGCTAAACTTCATAAAGCTGGCGGTTGTTTCCTGGCTTTTTGTTGTTTTCACAGGATACAGGTGCAGGCAGGCCCCACATTCAGGAAGTTCACGCTGTTTTTTTGATACCATGCATTATAGGCTGGCCTCAAACCTGCTTAGATCTTCCTGCCTCAGCCTCCTGAGTGCTGGTTTTGAGCCAGAAAACGATGCTAGCTGACCTGACAAAGACCCAACTCATACTCCCTCCCACACCTAGCTCACATCCTCCTTCACGGTCTTTTGTTCTCAGTAAATGTCTGTATCCAGTATACTTTTCTATCAAATAATGTAAACTAAATGTAACTGCCTCAACCAATGAACTGACGATAAATGCCTTGCTTCTGTATCCCCACCCCTCTTCCCTTGACCCATGTAAACCCTGCTCAGTGCCAGCTGCGGGCTGATGGCTTTGTGCTGAAATCCCCCATTAGTCCGCTGGCTTAATAAATTTACCTCCCCCTTCCGGGCGCAGGGTCGATTCTTCCCGGCCCGATCTTGCTATACCACTGAGAGCTGCCACGCCGTGGACTGTAAGTCGGTCGTTACAGTATTACAGACGTGCACCGCCACGCCTGGACAGGAGGCTCATATTGCCGCGAACACGACTGATGACGCGCTTGCGTTAACTATGGAAAACGCACGCAGTGATAGGCTGGCAGAGAACTTCCAATAAGCTACCAGGGACGGCTTTGTGTGCGTGGTACTGGGGACTGAACCCAGGAAATTCGCACTAAGGTACATCTCTTTTTTTTGAGACAGGGTCTCGCTAAATCGCTAAGTAGCACAGGCTGGGCTTGAGCTTGTGCTTTTCCTGCCTCAGTCTCCCAGAGTGCTGGGACTTCATTGTATGGCACCGCGCCCTGGGAGGGACTGCCTTTCTGACAAACGCTAGCACCAAGCTGGGCTCGTCCGGCTCCATGCGCACAGACAAGAGCGCCGCACGGGTCCTTAGTCCCTGGGCCTCACGAAAGTCCGGGACCCAGGGTTCCCGGAACTGGCGGCCAACCACGCGGCCGCTCTTGCGACTCCCCAGCCATTGTCAACCCTCAAATCATCTCCCAGAGAAGCCTAGTTACACCCCCGGCCTCGAGTCCCACAACCGCTCACCTGAGTAGCCTGGCGGGCTCGGGAGGTGGCCCTCCCGGTCCTTCACAGCACGTTTCCGACTGCGCGCCATCTTACGAGCCGGAAGCGCAGGGGCCGCTGGGAGATGTAGTTCGGCGCGGGACA